TCTATAAACTTTAAAAAAAAAAGTTTTTACCTTGATCGTCGGTTGAAAGTCAGTTGCTAGCTTGCTCGATGATGAAGGACAAGAACTTTCTTTAAAAAAAAAGTCTACAGAAAAGTATAACTGCTCTGATACCACGCTGTGACGCCCCAAACTTAAGTTTCGAATATCACGTACTAAACATAATAGCTTCTGCCTATGGTACATGTAAATACTCTTAAATAGAAGTATTACATGTTAGAAACTTATTTTCAACTTGGTAAAATGTCTCTCATAAATTTTTAATGGCCCGCAGAAGCGCATGTCGTCAAGAAATTATACTTTACATATACAGACTCTGCACTGTCATGATTAGTTGGGGCAGCAAGTTCAACTATTTTTATAAAATTCATCCCAACTCCGTTTTCTATGAAATTTACGACATTAGAAAGATATTTTCAAGTAGATTTCTAGGTTAAAATATAAAAAATTTCCATGATTATATAATATGGGCGTTTTACTGAAAACAGTGAGGTATTGCACAAAAATTTCAGATTTGACCCTTCAACGTTTAAAAATTCATATCTCAGGCTACAGATATCCAAATTGAGTGATTCTTGTGCCCATATTAAGACAACTCAATGAGGAACGCAGTAATATTTTCAGAGTCTCAAATGGACGTTTATGGAGTCAAAAATAACGTGTTGAAGTTGACCCAAAAACTGTCCCGTTTCTACCTTTTGTCACTTGTAAGGACAAGTTTTTTTTAAAAAAAAAAGGTCTCTTAACGCAACATAGAAGATATAATTGCATAATTTACTTCCGGTACCATATTACATCATGTCTCATACATGTTTTTATACAATACCATAAGAAAACATATGGAAAGCAGTCGAACAAAATGCAACCTAACTTTATTAGTATCTAAAAATACACACAACAAATATACCCAAAAAAAAAAAACTGTCCCTTTCGAAGATTCATTCGATGAAGTCCTCTTGCAAAAGATAAAATTAAATATTGTGTAGATACTTCAATGTATAAAATTCAAGCACGGAAAATGGATTAAAGATGAAGAAAATGTGAGGCCAAGAAAGGGTTAGGCCTCACTAAATTTCAATAGGAATAACTTAGCTATCAGAATATTACAGTATTATAGCAATTAAAGCACAAAAATCTTACTATTTCAGTATTCCCTTGGGCTTTGTTTGAGTGCACCCTTCTTCTTTTTTTTAAGTGTTTTTTTTTTTTTTTAGGAGGATGTGTTGTTAAAAAGTAAGAAAAAATTTTGAGATTGCGTACAATATTATTTTATTGGGAAAATGTGTTTTTGAAAATATATTTGAGGAAAAATAAATTTTAGAGAATGTGATAAGACGTGAAATGTCGTATTTTTCATCCATTAATACTTGCACTTTGTGATTAATTCATACCTAAATATACTTAGCACCCTTATATTTTGATTTAGGTTGCAATTGGATGGAAATCGTGAAAGTTGAGAGAAAAGAGTGAAAAATGACCAAAATGGGAAGCAAGTGAAATTCAGGGACCAAGTTGCAAATAATTCATAGGTGAAACGAGAGATGAAATAAAGATTCAAGAGTGTTAGGGATCAACTGGATGGGACAAGAAGTCAAAAAGATGAAATATAGTCGAAACGTTATCACATATTAACTTTCAGGCGAAAAAGTTACGTTCCAAATTTCTAGCCTCAGTTTGAGAATCATTTTTGGCATAGAAAATTTGCAAATTGGAAAACTTCTATCTCTTGCAAAATTGTATCCATTTTCATTAGTTTTCAATGCAATTTAAATCAACTCAATCGGATATTGGAAGAGAAAATTATGACCAAAATACTGAAAAATGTCCGGTGGAGAAAGCGGTATAACCATGCAGTTGCATACCTTGCTTCAAAAAACTTGAAGGCTGAAAATAGTTGTTCTATGCAATCTCAACCATTTGAACCTTGCACTTGCATGGTTCATCTCCGAGGTGCGATTTTTAGTTTCCTAACTCCATTCAACAACTCATAGAATCAAATCTTATACATGATATATATACCCCAAATTTCGTACAAAACCTAGAGAACATCCCCAAACCTAATTTGTTCTCTTTTTGCTCTAAAATTGAAAATGTATAGCTAATTTCTCTTTGCTTGATCGAAGGAAGCGAAGCCTTGGAACAATTATAACTGTGAGATCTACCTTGTTTTCTTAGTTTAATTCATATTCTTTGATATTAAATATTCTTTTGCATGTATTTTTCTGATTGTTGAGATTAATTGCTTGGATGCACAATTTTCTACAATCGATAGTTAAGTTAAATGTTCAAATCAGTAATTATTTGATTGATTTAACTTGTGAGCAACTAAAATTAATGGTCTGCTGCTTTGAAAATTATTAAATCTTAGAAAGAAATCTAAGTTAAATGCAACCGGGTGTACTTATCTTATCTAGTTTATTGATTTCTCTAATTCATAAAGCAAATATTGAATTAAATCTTCACGCTTATCTAGGATTGTTCGATAATTAGGATTAATTAAATCGCTTGTTCCTAATTAGCCCCCGTTTGGCCCCCATTTTTGGTAATGAAAATGTGGGGAATAGTGTTTTGTTGAAAAAATGAGTGGTTGAAAAAGAAGGAAAAACTTTCGATTTACGTGTAATATTATTTTATGGAAGATTGTGCGGTTGAAAATAGGAGAGAGAAAAATAGAATGTAATGAAATGTAATTTAATGGGGATCAAACAGGGGCTTAATTAAAACTGAGAAGAAATAAGCAATCATTTCGAATGGTAAATTGTTTTCCGCAATGAATGCTAAAATTGTGAATTGATGATTATTTGTGGATCAATGACCAGTTATAAATTTTTAATGGTGGATGTTGACTTAGATTAAGGTTCATTTTATTGATCTCATCCAATTTATTGATTTTCATTGATATTAGTTGTTTTTCTTAAGAATTAATTGTTTCAAAAATCAAAACCCCCATTTTAGTTAATCTAACATAGAAGATAAACTAATCACTCTTCGTGGGATCAATCCTTACTTTCACTGTTGCATTAATTTTAAGAAGTATATGTTTTAATTTTGGGTGTCTATGACAGCACGCACCAAATTTTGGTGCCGTTGCCAAGAAGTGATTTATTTTATTTTTGTACTTTTTATTTGTTTTATTAGTTTTTGTTTAGAAAAAAATGTTTATTTTGTTATTTTTTTAAGTTTAGTTTAGTTTATATATATATATCTTCCTTAATTATTTATGCCCATAACTCGATACTCTAACAAAGGTGATTTACAGTTTGATCCAAACATTGAAAGGACTTTCCGCAGGTTGAGGAGTGACATTCGAATGAAATTTTAAGGACACAATCTCATTCATATTCCCTTGTTTACTAATGATTCCGATTCAGAAAGAGAGAAAGTCATGGCTGGAAATCAAACTTTGAAGGAGCTTGTAGCTCCAAACTTGAATCAACAACCTCTCAGCATAACCTTTCCTACTTTAGATACTACTACTACTTTTGAACTTAAATCTGGACCAATACATCTTTTGTCTACTTTTCATGGTCTTGCAGGTGAAGATCCCCACAATCATCTAAAAGAATTTCTTGTGGTTTGCAAAAGTATGAAACTCACTGAGTAACTGAAGAGCAAATCAAATTGAGAGCCTTTCTATTCTCCCTAAAGGACTTAGCTAAGGACTGACTCTACTATCTACTATCTAAAAGTGTCACAACCTGGGAAGAGATGAAGAGGGTGTTCTTAGAAAAATATTTTCCAGCTTCAAGGGTAGCTAAAATTCGAAAGGAAATCTGTGGTATAAGGCAGGACAATAGAGAATCTTTGCATGAATACTGGGAACGGTTCAAGAAATTATGTGCAAGTTGCCCCCACTATTAGATGAAAACACAACTCTCATTCAGTATTTCTATGAAGGCCTTCTACCCATAGATAGGAGTATGATTGATGCTGCAGGTGGGGGAGTTTTGGTGGATAAAACTCCAGAGGGCATAAAGATCTTGATTGCAAACATGGTAGCCAACTCTCAACAATTTGGCACTAGGCTTGACAGTCCATCTAAACCTGTCAATGAGGTAAATATCTCATCCCTTGAACAATAGATTTCGAGTCTAACTACTCTTGTTCGATAAATGGCTACAGTACCATATGCAAACAGTGAACGTGTGAGGAATTTGTTTGGTGACAGTATATCCAACTAACATGTGCCCAACTCTTCAAGAAACTCCAATGAACAAGTTATTGCAATTTGTGGCTTTCCTGGACAACCACAAATGAGTTATGATCCATACTCTAACACCTACAACCCAGGATGGAGGGATCATCCTAATCTTAGCTACGGAAATCAACAAGTGAACCGACCTATGCAACAAAATCGCCCAAAGTTCGAGCAAAACAAGTAGCCATATCTTCCTAGACAACGACAGGGCCAAACTTCTAACTCTAGTATATCTTTAGAAGATATTGTTAAATCTCTTGCCACTAAAACTTCACAATTCCAACAGAAGACCCTTGCATTCAAAGTTTAGAGAATCAGAAGGGTCAAATGACAACTACAATTAACTAGCTGGGATCCCAAAACTCGAGAAAACTACCTTCTCAAACAGTTGTGAACCCAAGGGAATATGCAAGTGTAATTGTGTTAAGGAGTGGCAAAAAGGTTGAAGCACTAGTGAAGGCAGTCCCCACATCATCAGAACAAGGAAAGAAGGAAGATGTAATCACAGACAAAGATACTGCCAACGGTGATGATACACCAAAAAGTAAGTTTCCACCCCTTTCTGAGTATAAACCAGTACCCCCATTTCCCTCAGGCTTTAGCATAATCTAGGAAAGATGAACCAAATAGCGAACTTTATGAAACTTTCCTTAAATGAAAGGTAAATATTCCATTGTTAGATGCTATTAAACAAGTACCTCGCTATACTAAATTTTTAAAGAATTGTGTGCACTTAAAAGAAAGCAAAAACTCAAAGGCTGTAAGAAAGTGAAAGTTGAGGAGAATGTCTCTGCAACTATTCAAAAGGAAACTCCCTGCAAAATGCAAGGATCCAAGTATGTTCACTATCCCTTGCACGATAGGTGACACTAAGTTTGAAAAGGCTATGCTAGACTTAGGAGCTTCTATAAATATCATGCCATATTCCATGTATACTTCTTTGAAATTGGGGCCCTTAGTTAAAACTAGTGTAGTCATTCAATTAGCTGATAGATCAAATGCCTATCATAGGGGAGTGATTGAGCATGTCCTTGTAAAGGTTAATGAATTGGTTTTTCCTGCTGATTTTTATGTGCTTGACATGGAAAATAGTGATCAAGCTAGTCCCATCTTGTTAGGAGGGTCATTCTTAAAAAATCCAAAACGAAAATAAATGTACACAGTGGCACACTGACCATGGAATTGATGGTGAAATAATTAAATTCAATATCCATGATGCCATGAAATTTTCTAGTAAAGATAATGTTGTTTACTCTATTGATTTGATTGATTACTTAGCCCATGATGTTTTTGAACTTAATTGAAATGATGAATTGGACGTTATTATTAGTAATCATGTTGAAAAGGAGAGTGGGGAATTGACTTGGAGTCCTGAATTGAAAGAAACTGTTGCAGCATTGAACAGTCTTCCAAAGTTACAACAAACATGTAATAATTCATTACCAAATTCTAATGAAAAACCCCTCCTTTCTGTTTTACAGGCTCCTACTCCAGATTTGAAATCTCTTCCCAATCACCTCTAATATGTATTACTTGGAGATAGAAACACATTGCCCGTGACAATCTGAAACGAACTGAATGCAACGCAAGAAGAAAAACTAATGCAGGTTCTCAAGAAATATCACACAGCTATTGGATGGACAATTACAGACATCAAAAGAATCAGTCCATCAACCTGTATGCACCACATTCTGCTTGAAGAAGGAGTAAGATCTACCCACCAATCTCAAAGGAGATTGAACCCACCCATGATAGACGTAATAAAGCAAGAGATTTTCAAGCTTTTGGACGTTGGAGTAATTTATCCTATCTCTGACAGCAGTTGGGTCAGTCCCGTCATGTGGTTCTTAAGAAAACCAAGATAACTGAGGTAAAGAATCAGAACAATGAATTGGTTACCACCTGTGTTCAAAATGGGTGGCGGGTTTGTATAAATTATAGGAAATTAAATGTTGTAACCCATAAAGATGACTTTTCTTTACCTTTTATTGATCAAATGCTTGAAAGATTAGCTGATCATTCTTACTATTGCTTTCATCATGGCTATTCAAGTCATTTCCAGATTTCAATTGCCCTGAAGGATCAAGAAAAGACAATCTTCACATGCCCATTTGGAACATTTGCATACTGTCGTGTGTCCTTTGGCCTTTGTGCTCCGGCCACTTTTCAATGGTATATGGCTAGTATATTTTCAGATTATATTGAGCATATTATAGAAGTCTTTATGGATGACTTTACAATCCATGGAGACTCATTTGATAACTGTTTACATAACCTTGCACTAGTCCTTAAAAGATGCATAGAAACCAATCTTGTACTAAATTCTGAAAAATGTCATTTATAGTTGAACAAGGTATAGTTCTAGCGCATGTCATTTCATCTAAAGGTATTGAGGTAGATAAAGCCAAAATTGAAATTATTCAATCTCTACCTTACCTTGTTAGTGTGAGGGAAGTCTGCTCTTTCCTTGGATATACAGGTTTCTATCGCAGGTTTATTAAGGGCTTCTCCAAGATAGCATTGCCCCTATGCAAATTGTTACAAAAGGGCGTGGCTTTTGAGTTTGATGAGGATTGCAAAAAGGCACTTGATACACTGAAGGACATGCTGACGTTTGCACCAATTATCCAACCTCCTTACTAGAACTTTCCCTTTAAGATAATGTATGACGCAAACAACTTTGCAGTAGGCGCAATTTTGGGTCAAAGAATTGGAAATACTTCACATGCCATCTACTATGCTTCTAGGACTCTAAATGATGCCCAGAGAAATTACTCCACGACTAAAAAAGAACTCTTAGCTCTTATTTTTGCGATAGAAAAATTTCGTCCATATTTACTTAGTACTAATTTCATTGTTTATTCTGATTACACAGCTCTGCGTTATTTGATAACAAAGGAGGCAAAATCAAGATTAATACGATGGATACTTCTCTTGAGTGAATTCAACTTGGAGATCAAGGACAAAAGAGGAATGGAGAATAGTGTTGCAGATCATTTGAGTCATCTAGGTCATGTGGATGACGAACTCCAATTGCACGAAACCTTTCCTGATGAACAATTGTTCTCTACAAGCATGACACTACCTTGGTATGCAGACATTGTAAATTTTTTGGCTACTAACACACTTCCTCATCATTTCTCTAGGGCTCGAAAGGACAAGATAAAGAAGGACGTGGAATATTATGTATGGGATGATCCATACCTGTGGAAGCATTGTGCAGATCAAGTGTAATGAAGATGTATTCCGGAAAATGAAATTACCCCTATCCTCACCTTCTGTCATTCTTATGCCTATGGAGGACACTTTGGACCAAAGAGGACAGTAAGAAAAGTGTTGGAATGCGATTTTTACTGGCCATCCTTATTTTAATATGCATATGTCTTCTGTTAGTCAGGTGAGAATTGTCAAAAGACAAATAACATATCCCAGAGAAATGAAATGCAAAAATCACCCATACTTTTTTGTGAAATTTTTTATGTTTGGGACATTGATTCCATGGGGCCATATCATGTACCTTTCGGTTTTGTTTTTATTTTGCTTGCTATGGATTATGTGTCGAAATGGGTGGAAGCTAAGGCCACCAAAACTGATGATTCTAGAGTTGTCACGGATTTTATCAAGAATAACATATTTTCCAGGTTTGGGATTCCAAAAGCTCTCATCAGTGATTGTGGCACTTATTTTTGTAATCAAATTGTGGAAGGTTTGCTAAGAAAATATCATCTAACCCACAAGGTGTCAACTAAATATCACCCATAAACTAGTGGAAAAGCGAAAGTATCAAATCGAGAAATCAAGTCTATCCTTAAAAGAACGGGCTGTCCAAGCAGAAAAGATTGGAATTTGCGATTAGGTGACGCTTTATGGGCATACAGGACTACATATAAAATGCCTATTGGTATGTCACCTTACCGGTTAGTATTTGGAAAACCATGCCACCTTCTAGTAGAGCTTGAACATAAAGCTTATTTGGCTGTCAAGAACTTCAACATGACGATGGATGAGAGTGGAAAACACATGAAGCTGCAACTTCAAGAGTTGGAGGAGAATCGCAATGATGCTTATGAGAGTGCACGAATTTATAAGGAAAAGACAAAGACATTCCATGACAAGATGATTTCTAGGAAAGAATTTGAAGTTGGTCAGAAAATCCTCCTATACCAATCGCATCTTCAGCTATTTCTAGGTAAACTGCAATATCGTTGGATTGGGTCATTTGTTGTTACTAATATTTTTCCTCATGGTGCAGATGTGAATGGCCATAGGCTCAAGCCTTTCTATGAAGGTTTCTAGGTGGAAGACGTGACAGCGTTGAAACTCGAAGATCCAATTTATGATGATAAAGGAAGAAAGCAATAAGTCTAGCCAAAAACAATTCCTTTACTTTTTATTTTTATTTTTGTTTTTTGTTTTTTGTTTTTTGTTTTTTGTTTTTTTTTGTTTTTTTTTTTTTGCATTCATATATTAAGATAATTTTGTTCTCTTCTTTGCATTTCACTTTATATTGAGGACAATGTAAGTTTTAAGCGTGGGGAGAAAATTTAGGTTGTTTTTATATTTTAAATTTAGGTCATGTTGTTGCTTCAAAGCACTTTTTGAGAAAATCATTCGAAAAATTAAGGAAAAGTTGTGGTTTTAAATGATTTTTGGTTGCATGTGCTATATACTAGATTCAATTGGAATTTGGCGGACTCATAATATTATTGAATAAATGATCTTCCAAATTAGAGTTTAATTAGTTTAGTTATTTTCTTTGAGGATGGTAGTAACTAAATTTTGTAAATAAAAAGCCAGCTAGATTTTGAGGCTTCAGATTGGCACATCCATACCAGTCTCACTATTTTTTTTATGAGTGATTTTCTTCCATGAATTTACTCTTCTAGAACTACTCTTGATTCTCTTCGAAACCAAATTGATACATACATGCATGAACATGATTAAGGCCATCTTTGTTGCATAAGTTAGCCACCTTAACCAAATAGCCTACTCGATACTTAATTTTTCCTTTAGTTTTTACCCAAGCCGTAGAGCTAGTGGAATATTGTTCTTCATTTTGGTACATATGGGAGTGTGAAAGAAATAAGTGTGGAGGTGTCTAAAATTTTGGTAGGATTATGACGGTGGAATGACACATGTTCTCAATTACAATTCATAAGTTTCATTATTGGTGATATTTTGAGAGGAAAAAAAAAGATAAGAAGAAAAATGGAAAAAAAATGATGAAAAAGAAAAAGAAAAGAAGTGATGAAGTTATATTCATGATTCTTCCTAACATCAAAAGAAAGGGTTGGTTTATGTGAAATAGATGCAAAAAAAACTGTTAAGTGGAGAGATTGGTTTACATGTTTTATATATACATTTGAGCTTTAGTTAATTCATTTTTGCTCTACTAGTTTCAATGGCTTTTTGAGTTATAAGCCCAAATATTTCCCACCTAGACTCGAGGCCACATTACAACCCGTCAAGAAGACCTTATGATTTGTGTAATGCATGCGATCTAATTGGTGGAGAATGAGAAGATATGCAACCATATGGTAGATTATGTTCATTGGAATGAACTTGAGCGAAACACTTACCCTTTAAACACATGAGAATTGAGTGTTTATATCCTGTGAGAGTCTACATGTTTAGTTTACTCTATCCTGATATGAGAATACTTGCTAATTGATTACAAGTGGTGTAATTGCCTATTTATGATGTGTTATATGTTTTGAAGAGTTTGATTGTTCTATGTTGATAGGATTGCAATTTACTATCTTTGTTAAAGTCGATTTGAATTTTACTTGAGGATGGCAAAAGCTAGTGTAGTGAAATTTGATAAGACATGAAATGTCGATTTTTCATCCATTAATATTTGCACTTTTGTGATTAGTTGATACCTAAATGTACTTATTATCCTTATATTTTGATTTTGGTTACAATTGGATGGAAATCGTGAAAGTTGGGAGAAAAGAGCAAAAAAGGACCAAAATGGAAGCAAGTAAAAGTTCAGCGATCAAGTTGGAAATAATCCATAGATGTGACAGGCAGCGGAATGAAGATTCAAGAGTGTTAGGGGTCAATCAGATGAAAAAAGAAGTTAAAGAGATGAAATATAGTAGAAGCATTATCACATATCAACTTTTAGGCGAAAAAGTTACGCTCCAAATTTCTAACCTTTGTTTTAGACCCATTATTGGCATAAAAAACTTGCGAAATTTAAAACTTCTATCTCTAGGAAAATTGTAACCCTTTTCGTTAACTTTCTAATTGAAAGAGAAAATTATAACCAAAATATTGAAAGCTATCCTACAGAAAAAGCGGTATAACTATGCGGTCGCATAGCTTCAAAGAACTTGAAGGCTGAAAGTAGTTGTTCTATGCGACCTCAACCATTTGAACCATGCGATTGCATGGTTCATTTTCTGAGGGACAATTTTTAGATTAGATTGAAAAACCTAAAAGAAAAAAAAAAGGGAAAACTTTTATCTTCTCCTTCCTCCCATCCCTTCCCCAACCTACCCAACCCTACCCAAACCAA